TATATATATATATATAAAACTTAATACTTTAATGCACTTCAGTAACTATATATAACTTATATATATAACTTAATACTTTAATGCATAAAATAATGAATTACTTGATGTAAAAAAAACATGTTTGCTTTTTAAAAAAATTATGTATAATATGCAACTACATATCCTCTTTGAGAAAACAATTATGTATTTTTTTTCATCAATTGATCCTCTTTATTATTTTGGGTATAAAAGTATTAAGATACAGTTAGCAAAAAATAAATAATTTATTATTTCATGGTTATGTCTATGGAGATTTTTAAAAAGCATTTTATATTCTATCTATATTATAAAATATCTATTAGGTGTTGGAATTAATTCGTAGCGTTTTACAAAGTATTTATAAGTTTTAAAAGTACTTTCATTAATGTATTTTTTAATGCTCATGTGAAATAAATAACATTCTTTCATTAAAAAACGCTACGAATTAATTCCAACACCTAATAATTTAATTAAAATCATTTTTTGTGTATGATTAGTACAAAGTCTTTTAAGAGTCTTATGAAAAATAAAAAAATCAATTTCTATTTACACAAAATCTCGGCTTTCGTAAAAAATTATTTAATTCTGAACAAATGTACGTTATTTTCATAATAGGAATGTTATGCTTTTATTTAAAAAATTGCGATCGATATATAATTCGAAGCCCACCGCTGTGTTTTAACGGGCGATAAATAATTATTACAGAGGCGGTAGTACCTGGAAACCGCATGTGACGCCTGCAACCACAAGTTTACCGTCTCCGATGCACACCGCACCCGCGGGTAACATCACGCCAGTCACAAAGACTTCTTTGGCAGTGAAAAAACAGGACGGACCTCTCATCGGCAGCGGACACAATTTCAGCCCCAAGCCATTCGTTAGTATCGACCGTTAATCCGCGTCTGTTCGTTGCACTGATTCTGCAACAAAAACACGAAAAGTAGTTAGTTATTTTTCTACACCGGAACGTAATAATTTTCAGCTGAACGGCACCGGCGACGGTCCAATTAAGTCCATCGTGAACAAACAGTACAACAGCCCCGTGGGGATCTACAGCGAGGAAACAATCGCGGAGACACTGTCCGCTCAAGCAGAGGTCCTTGCCGGAGGTGTCCTTGGGTAAAATCGTGGAATAATTAATGATGTGGGATTAAAATATTTCTTTAAGTTTTCTAAAATTATTTTTAGATTGAAATTACACGATTAAGATCAAATTTTATAATCATTATCAAAAAAGTTACTCTCTTCAATAAAAGTGTTATTAATCAGTTAATTTTGCTGGTTAGCTTTATGAGTTAAAAAAATATTTATAATATTTATCAATAAATGTAAATATTGCAGGGTAAATTTCAAAAAGAATGAGAAGAATTACAATGCTGAGAACAGCGAGGTTTTCAAAATGGTCCAAGAAGCGGACAAGGAACCAAAGACCCCAGAACCTGGTTAGTAACATTCTAATATAATTTCTCATAATATAATTTCTGAAAAAATTGTATTCATTAATATTAATATATGTAATTAGTTTTACTATGCAAGTACACAGACACAAAAGGTATACGAGATCGCTAAAGAGTATATATTGTTCAAAATTCATGCCCGTTCGAGTATATTAATATTACTTGTTAAAATCATTAGTCTACGATGCAACTTAAATAACTTTTACTTTTCTTAAAAATATTGCAATGTCAAACTTTTATAGTGAAATTTTCGCAAATCGAATAATTTGTTTTTTATCTCCTCTATTTTACTGCAACTATAATCTTTTGATTTGCGGTATCTACATTTGGTACATAGAAGATATTTTGCAAAATTAAATAAAAAAAAAAAAATAAAATCTATTTAAAAATTATTCTACCTGAAATTTATTTATCTGAAATAATAAGTTAATTTTGAATCATTAAATAAATTTTTCTAAATTTATCTATCTAAAAAATCGATGCATTCTTCGGCTGGGCCAGAATCGGTTCCAGCCAACCTGTTGCATGCCGATACGATAACTTGTTTGCGAAATAGCGGAGCCAAATGTCGTGAGCGGCGTGATAACGCCATCCTCGCCCGCCCTGGCAGGACTGAGGCCCGTCCAGGCGCCGGAAACGAAGCCACAGACACCATCGACGCCGCAAACGAGTCTACCACCAGGACAGAACATTTGTGCCGAGTGCGAAAGGCTCATCGTGTAAGTTTACGTATACTCGGGACGCGTTTTGGTTTTTATTTTCAGAGGCTAGATAAGGCGAGAGGAGATAATGCCGACGATTACGATGGTATCCTACGACAACAATCGTTTTCCATTTGCGTATCGAATGTCATGCGAATTTTCAGTTTCTCAGATTAGAATTTTGCAATTTATGAGATTTATATCTATTTAATATCTATATTAATTTAATTTTTAGATAAATTAATTATATATTAAATAAAATCTATGGAAGTCTCTTTTGAATTATTTAATAACCACGGTTTTAATCTGAGAATGTATGTAGAAATGAACTCGCATGAACCGGCGAACGCGATCGCCTTCGTTGACCAGTCATATTTGATTCGACACTTCCCTGTTGCTGTCCAGTTGTTATGGAGCTTTTTCTCTACTTCCATGTCGTAGTTCCTTCAAGGACAGAATTTTACTCCTCGGTGAGCCACGCGGTTGGCGGAAGGGCCACTTCACCGAGGTCACCTACGCCTCTGTTTCATGCTATGGGTGGTGGTGGTAGCGCACCTGCCGATAGCAGGCACTTTGTATGGAGAGACGAATCGTACGGGAAGAATCGAGAACCACAACCGCAAAAGCAGGAATCTTCTGCCGGGTCGGGCTCGTCGACACCGGGCGGGATCGTTTGTAGCAACTGCGACCGAGTGATCGTGTAACTATTTACGAGCGAGACTCTTGCCACCCTTGTGCACGAGACGGCCACGGCGGGTTTCGTTTTGACGTTTTTAAGGTGTTGACATTCGCATACCGAGAGCGATACGATGCGAAAGTTTATAGAAACTATTAACTGTGATGGTTCAGATTCTTAGAGAGTCTATCAATCGCAAAAGATTATTTATATTGAAAGTCGCTCACGCGACTTAATTATTAATTATAAAGCAAAGTTCTTGTTAATGATAAATTTGCAAAAATTATTTAAACAATAAATTATTAATAAATTTATTTTGATAAATTAAATTAAATAATAAATTAAATTAAACTAAATTCATATGAAGTTGTCAATTGCCATCAGCTTTTGAAAAAATTAACTTCCTACGGCTCATTCGATTACCCATTTGCACATTTCATATTTTCGTTTGCATACCATAACAATTGAATGAGCTATAGAAAGTTAATTTTTCAAAAGTTGTGGAACAAAAACTTCACACAAGTTAAAAGTAAATATTATTATTAATAAAAATTTGAGTTGAGCTTAATAAGAGATATTTTTTTAATTATAATATTTTAATAGCATTAGTCTGTTTTAAATATTAAAAGTGTTAATAAGTGTGAAATATTATACAAAATAATTATAGAAAATAATAATAATAATTCGTAATTATAGAAAATAGTAAATGTAATTCGTAATCTCATCGTTCTCAGAGTTGGCGATTAATGCACCTCGTACAATCGTCAAAAGCGACGCCGTTCTGAGTTGCTCGATTGTCGTATGCTAGTATCATCTTGAAGATTCCGATTCGAAGAGAACATGTGCACATTATATATAGTTATAAAAATGTAGAGTTGTGTCATCGAATAACAATATATAATAAACATTTTATATCGAATAACAATAATATCAGCCTAATAATAAACGGGAATAGAGAAATTATACTATAAATAAATGATACAAATTTGCGTAATTTCATAGTTTGTAAAAATTAATTTACGCGATAAAAAGAAGTGCACATTTATCTCCTTGATTATGTGTTCGAAGCACGCCTTTCTCTATCGCCACTTTTCGTCAACATCGCTTGTTCAGGAAGAACAAGCACTTCGATCGTTATGCATTTTTGTTATCACTATTATCTCTGGAAGAATTCTGATCATTCGAGCTTATAGCTTACAACCTACTGGAAGTCGTATCTGGGCGAGAAGAAAATTTCTCACTCGCTCACAGCTTGAATGCAGCCCTATCTAAATGTTTCTTTATTCTCTGCACTTTACTCTCTTAATAGCACCTTTCGCGCATTTATAGCACACTGAATGACTGATAACGTATAAAAGAAAACTGCTTTCGATGTTGTGAATATTTTTGTGGATTTTTATTTTTGTTCATATTTTTTTAGAACAAAATTTTTTTGTGATACTTTTCTATCTCTAATTTTTTTCTATGCTCGACGAGGGAAAACAATCTTTTTTTGTACGAAAAAAATTTACAGATCGACAACATATTTTACGACCGACAAAGACTATCTAAATTCATTATTTTTTTGCAACATTATAGATGTTATGTTAAATATATTTAATTTTTTTTTAAGAAACAAATTATAAGCTTGATTACTATAAAGAATATAATACAATATCACACAATACAACTCAACATTACTTTTCAAAACATTCACATATTATCATCTACCTAGTTTCGAATATTAAATTATTTTTTACGGTGTTATATTTTTTGAGATAGCCACTCCGCTACAAAAATCAACTTTAAGTACGTTTTTGTAGCTTTATTTGTTTCATCGTTCTCATTCGAATATAATGTTCACGGAAATCATATATAAATAATTAATTAATAGCTATTCCCGGCCTCCTTCGTCGAGGTATCGAGTTTCTTACGTCTCTTTCTCTCCTTTTTCTAGAGTGAATAGTAATAAAATTCAAAACTCGTGGCACATCCGACGCGCCATCATCTCGTCGTTTATTGTTGTTACATTAAAGAAAATCAATTACTGCACTGAGATGCAAAATAACCACGTTATTAACCTACTTATTCTTTCTCAGAGGTGTCTTCGTCAGGATCAAGGACAAGAACCTCCACGTGGAATGCTTCAAGTGCTCAACTTGTGGCACATCCCTAAAGAATGTCGGTTACTACAATATCAACAATAAATTATACTGCGATATTCACGCGAAACTCGTCGCTAGGCAAAATGCTCCGGCTGGTCTTGTACCTCTTACTATACCACCGTAAGTTATATAACGTATAGTATTCGTTCTTAAATGTTACACGCTTGAAAAATTTAATACAAAGTTTTATAAAAAAATAAAAATAAAAAATTACGATATAATATATGTATATATACGATATAAAACACAAGTAGAAATACAAATAAATGTATAAATAAATAATGAATAAGTTAGGATGATAATGAAATGCAAATAATTGAAAAGATATATCCTTTACGATTCGACAGAGGTGGCAAAGCACCAGCTAGTACCATTAGCGCGGCATTGGCGAGTGCACCTTTATCGCCACCCCTCAGCAATCATGGATCGTCGCCTCAGCCATTCTCCGTGAGTTGCTTCATCATAATTTGATTCTCTTTACGAGGCATGGTCACGAGCGAATTTTTTCGCGCACGCATTTTCTTGCCTGTTTTGGCATGGCTTATGAAGCGAGCATTTTGTATTGAGCGTGTGGCTTTGCTGCGCGTGATTTCATGGAATTTCTTATGATCGCAAATCGGGCGAAGGTCGCAGCGAAATTTCTCGCTCATTAACGATTTCTCTCTCTCGAATTTTATATGGAGAAAACAATGGCATAGCATTTTTAAAAGAAAAAATTTGAGAATAATTTTAATGGTTAAATAGAAAGAGAGTTCGTTAAAATATTCATGTATCGAATATTTAAAAATGTATCTCCGTGTGTATTTTAAATACTAATTATGAGACAATCGTATTTATCCCTTTCACATTCTTAATCGGTAAAACATAATAATACGGAATAAAATATAATAGTACGGAAATAATTTACGACTTTGAAATTTTCTTCACGATAAATGATAAAATATTTAATTATTATAATTTCACGATTATTACACCGTGTGCCACGAAAGATCTATTTCCGACAAGCTAAATGCGCGCGCTTATCTTGAGAGTTTAACAAGTGTGGTCCTTGCTTGGCACTAATCGCTTTTCCAGGCGTGCAATCGTACGAGCCCCGAGTCCGGATTTCAGCATACGTGGCGATCAACTTCGAATACGAATGGATGCATCAAGAATGGTGAATGCAACGGCGAGTCGAAAACGTTCACGAGTACGATCACCATCCAAACAGGTGGCACAGAGGTTGGCAATGTGCTCGAAAATACTCGATTTCTGCATTCGCTCATGCTAACGTACTTTTCATCATGATTTCCTTGTGTAAATAGTTATCAAATAATTACAAAACCAAATTGGCGTAATCAAGATAAAACATTGTACAGTAATTTTTCGTTATATATTGTATATCATAAAATATTGCATTATGATATATGTATATACATTAAATTAAATGTTAGTATGTCACATTTTCAAATTTTGATTTTTTAATATAAAGATGCAGAATCTTTTTATTTTTATAAAGAAATGTAAAACTTTAAAAAGAGAGAGTGCTATTAGAACTGTCATTATTTTTTTCATATTAATAAAACAATGACAGTTCCAGTAGTTTTCATATTTTTACAGTTCCTTATAAAAATGAAAAAAAGTTTTGCATTTTTTATATTAAAAATCAAAACTGAAAATATGAAAATTATTTTAAAATCTATATATCGTCGGAGCTCTGTTTAAAAATGATTTTAGAACATAGAACTCAGTTAAAATTAACGAGAAATATCGCTTGAATTGTGATAAACTTTTTCTGCTGTGTCATGTTGTCTTCTACATATACATATACATACACATATATATATATATATATATATAAAATATAATACATATATGTATGTGTGTGTGTGTGTGTGTATATATATATGTATATATAATTTATACATTTTTTATTCATTGATTATACAAAACGAGAAATATATCTAAAAATTTTTAATGATTAATACACTAATAAACATCAATCATATATACTGAAGCAAAAATCATTATGATATTACTAAAATGTCTTTGAATCAGTCGATTACGTAAATATATTAATAATTATATTCGCGACCGACTATTTCGAACTCGTGACTAATTAGTCTGTCGTAATTGGGAACGTTTCTGCCAATTCGTCTTTTCTCTCTCCCCCTCTTTCCCCCCCCCCCTCTCTCTCTCTCTCTCTCTTTCTCTCTCATCTTGTTTTTAATTATTCGTCCCACATGACATCGATGTGTCGTTTTGTGCAGCCCACCACCCGTTTTGGCATCCCGCCCGTCGATTCACCGAGCTTACGATCAGTCCAGGTAAAGTCCCAGCACGATTCGTAACGTTCTAATTGATCTCGATCGCCCTTCAAGATCGTCAGTATATAATTTATCCCATACAAATTGTTATTCGAGACATCATTGCTTTGATTCAACGCGGAAATTAATTCAAATTGTCATCGAAAATGTATCAAGATATCATAATTAACTATAAAGTGACATTTAATCAGTGAAAATTGTAAACCTTAGAGCATATTTCAAGTATAATGTACCTTGATGTCTTCTTTCTATTTTCTCTATTATCAAAAATATGAAAAACTTAAATTTCAAACTGCTAAACTGTTTTCTTCTTTTTTTGGACAATGAACTTTCAACTTATGAAAATCTAAATTCAAATTTGACATAATCTAAAACGAAATGTAAAACGAAGTTTTAAAATAATTGATAAATGTAAAGATAATATATTTGCTTTAATTTATTTAAAAGTTGGTCAAAATTATTCCATTTGTATAAAAATACAATTTTTATTATGCATATTTTTTAAATTTCGTGGTTCTAAATATAAATAATAAAAATTAAAATATACAAAGTAAAATTTTTAAACGGGTGTAAAATTACCTTCATGATATATAATATGCACAAGAATGTAGCAATTAGTTATCCCAAAAATTTCATAAGCTTATAATCAAATTGTGTGCAATGCAATTGCTTGCATGTGACCTCCATAGCGGAAATAACAGTTTTAAGCACGGGAGGAGTGCAATGTTCCTTGAGACTTTGCGCGATATGGGTCACTGATTAACCTATCGCACTTTTGCATTAACAGACGTTATCAAAGCAGCGAAATCTCGCATGTTCCGCTATATTTGGCACTGACAACTTTTTACAATCTGTTAATTCTGTGGTTGTGATTTAAATTTATACCTCGTTTCTTATAGAATAAGAAAGTACTTTATTTATTTGATTCAAGAATTATCATAATATTTTAAAAAAGAAATAATTAATGTGATATAAATTACTGTATTAAAACATTGTTTAAGTGCACAATGCTCCATTTTTTTATCAAAAATTAAAACATATATATTACAATAATGGCAATTAAAGAAGAAAATTTGTAAATTTACAGGCACCAACGAGCAACAATCTCGTTGGTCCTAAGCCCTTCGGTGGATCGAGTGGAGGTTTCTCATCGAATTTGTCTCCGACTCCGACATTGAATTCCGGAAGCAATATCTTGCCACGTCCTCAAAGCCAGACTGTGACAGGTAGGTCAATCTTATTATTATAAATATAAATAGGTATGATATAAACTTAAAGAACTGATGCAATATAGGATGACGAAAACTCATGTATTTTTTAAGATCAGTGTTTGATAAAAAATATTGCAAAATCCATGCTCAGATCTGTATATTTATATAATTCACGTTACGTAATATCGCTTAAAAGTATTTATCTCGAGTATAAAAGAGGAATTTTAAGGTAATGTAAGATGACGTTACTTTTAAAGATGTATTAAAATCTTTTCTGCGATAAATCGAAATATTCGGATAGAGAACAACAGAGAGAGAAAGACAATTTTATTCAAGACTATCGCCTCTTTTCTTCATCATTTTTTTTTGATTCGGAGAACTGCGTCGATTTTACGTAGTTATCTGAGAAGTTCGAAGAAGCAATTTCATAATCGATTTAAGATAATCGTGATCTTGTCTTATACGTCCTTGTCCTAACTCTGCCTTCGATTCTTGCAAATAGGTCGGTACTCTACCCTGCCAAAGCCAAAAAGTTCGCCTTTCAGAGGTACGACGAATAGATTAGAGCCGTCGGTTGACCGAGTTTCGAGCTTTGGCTGATACGCCTCCTTTGGCTTACATTCTCATATTTTATATCGCTCTTTCTCCCTTGCACGCAGCTCGTATATACATGTCTCATATTATCGATCGATCGATCATTTGGTCCTCGCTGGTCTATACATTGTGATGGTCTCTTTAAATAGTGATAGAGAGAGAGAAAAGGAGGAAGGTCTCATAGTTTTGATCGTCTCATTCTTGGCTCCTTATCATTCGTCGTTATCTCGACGACGACGGCGAACTCTGAGAGCTATGACAGTTTGTAACGACCTTTCAATATATATATGCTTTCATCCCTTTTTACTTTCATTTCAAAATTTGCACGATACACTCGGAAAATTATTCATAATAGCTGTATTTTAATTATTTTAAATATGCCATTGTGAGAGATAAGATCAAATTAGAAATCTAATATTTAATAATAATAATAATAATAATAATAATATTTATGTTCATTAAGAAAATAAATACTCTCCTTTGTAATCTTTCTTCTTTCTCATAATTTTTATATGATACTTTTTCTTTGAAAAAATTTATGTAATATATGTTTTTATAGTTAATGTTTAGTTTATTACTTCAGATATAATATAATTTTTTATATTAAAAGTGAGTTTTTTAAAGTATTATTTTCAATAAAGAAATTTTATATTATTAACTTCATCATAGAAATATTATATTTAAGAAAATCTAGCATTAACTTTTCTGGAAAATACATAGATCGTTCCCCATGTCTACTCTTGCAATTTAACCGCGTGTTATCGTGCTTTTTCTTTCCGCGCATAATCTTTCTTTTATCTTTTTTCAGCCGGTCCGTCTTTCAACCCGAAACCCAGACCCTTCTCCCTCACATTCGCATGAATCAATAGCTCTCAATGGCGCCGTCGTCGTCTTCATGCTGGCAACCGAAATGCAAACACGATCCAGATGATAAAAGTGCCAGACTATGATTTCACTATTCACGATTTTTCTTTCGAGTTTTTTAATTAAATATCATGGATGAGAAAAAAGTTATTTTTCTTTAGTTATTTTGAAATATGTCTATCAGTTTAACAATATAATATTGCAGTGCTTATTATATTATATTCTGATCATATTTGGAATTGTTTTATCTTTTCTAAAAAAAAATCATGAGATAGCACACATCGATTTCTGCTTCTATTTGATGACACATTTTGTCATCAATCCAGGATGTTGAATAAATAAATGCAGATGCGAAATAAAGCACAAGTTCTTCGTAGAACGTACATCTACATCTTTGATTTTTTTTTACATTGCGTCACATCATTTCTTCAATACATGACCATGAATTGACATTTACAGCGTTTTTCTTCGCTTTACATCAATGATCTCAAATATTCGAGGTGTATTGATGCTATAATACGCATTGTTCTCGTAGAATCTTTTTGCTACTTACGACCGGTTTGAAAGCGATGTTTAACACACGAAGGCACGCAGCTTTCACGCTGCTTTGAAGTATCAAGTACCGAGTGATTATCACAAGAAATGCACAGTTGATTTAAATAATAATTATATATTATAAAAGATCTTTTCACGAAAACTAAATCTTTAATTTAATACCTTATAATTCTGCTTCTTTTCTTAATTTTGCATACCGGGTTGCGCTTGTGGTCCTCTTCCGTCAAAAAAATCATCAAATCAAATAGAATTATTTATTAATTGAATTAATATAACTCTGTCCCATTTTGTTATTTTTTGAATATTTTATTTTAGCAAAATATTTTACAAATAAAAAATTAATAATTAGTAATTAAAAATTAATAATTAGTATTTTATAAATTTTTTATAGTAAAAAAGGTAAGCAAAATCTTTTATTTAAGATATATTTGCACAAATATATAATGACAGATCTGATAAATATATTTTTATATTATATATAAAATAAAATATCGATAGTATTATAATAAATATTATTATTTAAAAAATATTTAATTACATTTTCTCATCCACATTTCTTTATCATAATTACTAAGATGAGCACTACTTAAGATAAAACAAACTAATCAATCTCTAATTGTAAGAATTATTTATTGCGTTTGCATATTTAAAATTTAAAATACATATATACTTTTATATATTCGGAAAGAGACCACGGGCGCGCACGGTTCATCGTGCTTCTTACTTACTGCAAATTTCTCTGTTTTTTTGTCTGTTCTTTCTAACGTACCCTGACAAATCTAATCACTTATCCTCTCGAACGTGTGTATTATACACTTTTTGTGTGTCGTGTTTTCTCTTCCCTGCAATTCCGGCGAGTTATCTTTATCGCTTACCGCCATCCCCATTTGCCATCTCAGAAACCTCCAACAGCGAGACTTACGAAAGATCCTATTATCACGAGGTCGTAGAAAACACGAAAGATCAGTCCTCCCATTCCGGCTCCGTAAGATCCCGTCGGAGCCTCCTTTGGCCACCTCCGAAATCTATCGAAGATATTACATATCCCACTGCCAGTCCTCTATATATCAATCCGAATCCTATTCTCGATAAAAGGTGCTATCAAATCAAAGAGAAACGCGCTAGTATTGAGGCTTGCGAGCGAGCTTTGAGCCGTAGAACCGAGAGACATCGAAGCGAAAGCATCGATCGAGAGGTCGAAAGGGTATTGAGAGAAAACGGTCATCAGCACGAAACTGACGTGATGGAGCGACTGAGTTGTCCTGGACAGCCAGTATATCGGCGTATCGAGCTGTGGGACACCAATAGAACCTCTCGATCGGATATGACAACCTCGAGGCCAAGTTCAACTGATAGCGTCCGAAGGTCGCTGACACCCACCAGAATCGTTCAACCGATTCCAAAACCGTGGACTGCGACCGTCAGCAGCGGAGGTACCAATCTCTATCAGCAGAGTTATGCAATATCGGCACAACAAGAACAGCCTGCAGGACAAATTTACAAGAAATTCACGCAGCGGGAAGTTTGTCAAGAACGTATATCGGGCAGCAAGGAACATCGGGAAGAACAACGAGCTTACAGAACAGAGATCTGTCGAAGGGAGCAAATCTGCCCGAAACCGCCCTTACCCACACCTAAGCAAGAGCCAGCAGAGACGGTTAAAGAAATAGACACTGAGGTAACCAATCTAAGAGGTGACGAGACGGATGAAGGGGAAGTTTCAAAAGGTATTCAGGGTGAACATGATCTGATCACCGAGACGGCCGAAGAGACGGTGGACGGTATGCACACGAAGCAATCGGCAACTTTTGAAAAGACTGTGGAGAGGATATCATCGCCGATGGAGAAATATAATATTCCTATGATAGAGAAAGCGGAAGACAAGATGGAGTCTCAGTGTTTCGCGAGAAGAACTGAAAAATACATCGATCGAAAGGTGGAAGACACAACGGAACGAACTGTGGAGAAGTCCGCTGAGATGGTTACGTCGGCTATTGACGCTCAGCAGATGTTGGAAAAAGCAAAGCAAGAGGAAGAGGAAAGAAAGAAAAAAGAAGAAGAAGAAGAGCGAAAAAAGGAAGAAGAAGAAAGAAGAAAGCGTGAGGAAGAAGAACAAAGACGTCAAGAAGAAGAAGAAAAGAGGAAACGAGAAGAAGAGGAGAAGAATAAAAAGCATGTGACTTTCAGCGCAGAGGATGAAGAGATTGAAGAAGTGCGAGAGCAGCCGCTGGGCAGAACTGTCGTACGAGAAGAACGCATTACAGAGTCAGACGGATCTACTCCAGGACGTTGCAAAATCACAAAAGAGACATACGAAGAGATTACTGAAGAAGTGCTGGTTCAGGAACGCGTCAGAAAAAGAGGAGCCGTAGAAGACGAACGTAGAAAGAGTTTGCGTGAGCAAGTAGAGGTTCATCAAAGTCTTCGAGATCAACAGGCGCCGGAGAGACGAAATGTTGTCGCGAGATATGGACAGCAATCTCAAGAGACCATGGAATCTTGTAAGAAAAAGGTGCAATTCTTGAAAGAGACGGAGACGGGGCCGAAACCTCTGTCTGACACGCCTGTAAAAAATTCCACACCCAAGGAGTGGAAATCCGAGATGGTGAACGCCTTGACAACTGCATCTGATCGTCCTTACACGCCGCTGAATGCCACTTCCAGCGTAAAAGAATTATATACCGAAGAAACCATCTACCTAGACCACAGATGTCGCCCTAAGACACCGCCGCCCAAAAAGGAGATCCGACCAATTTCACCTTTCCAGCAAGCGTTAACGATAGCGCCTGAACGATCCTACACTCCTCTGAGTCGTGAAATCGGACCAGAAGATCAACAAATTGCTACTAGATCGCAGACTCCAAGTCTTCAGTTACAAAATGGAGAATACTGCCCACCGTTAGGTATTCTATACGGTAAAGAGAGTACAACGGGGGAATCTTACGCGCGAGAACAGATATATATGAAGAAAGAAGTCAAGGAATCGAGACCGCGACCTTTACCTACTCCGCCACCTGATTATCGTCTGAGAGACTCTTCAGCATCACCTGCTGCGAGACCAGAAATTCTCAAATCATCTAAATCTTTTACAGCTTGTCTAAAAAAGCCAGACGCCATACCGGCCTATCAGAAGAATTTAGTGGCGATGAAGAAAGGACCTGTAGAGGGTCAGCCATTCATTCCCAGTAGAACACCTACTCCAACGCCTCGCAGATCTAAGTCACCTGCTCAAGGACCGCCCGAGCCACCAGCGTGTTACGTAAAAACTCGAGCCCCAAGAATTCGAGAGGATCCACCACCATCGAAACGCGGTGGAGTACATTTTCCTTCGCGTAAGACCATCTCTTACCATGTAGAGGAAGATACTGATAGTGGTCACAGGAAGCAGGAATATTCTGCTTCGAGGACTGTCAACTACGATGAGAAGGAGACCAGCAGTCTCAAAGCAGGTCCGACGGAGGCACTTTATGCCCAGTTCCAGGAAACACGGTGTATGACAAGTGAAGAAATTAGCGAGCAGAAAAATATTGCGACTCACGTAAAGAAAGCGCTTCAAGTACTCGAAGATTACGAGAAATGTCAGCAAAAAGAGATATTACCAGTGGCATCATCACCGCAAAAGCCGAAACCAAGCACCTGTGCCATAAATAAGGTGAGCCATACGAAGCCCACTTTATCATGTCCTATGATATCATCTGCGCCAGTTAGACCAACCTATAGTAGTTCCACCGAAGTGCGACATGTGCGATATGAGACTCCTTCACCGAAACCTTGTCCGGAAACAGGAGTGACCGTTCTACCTTGCAAAGCATATTCTAATCAGGGAATCAAAGCCGGCATCGTCGTAGTGCCCTGCGATGATTCTCAGACCTGTTCTAGATCCGGAATCTGCGTGACAGCCACGAAAGATCAATCAGGCGTGTGCGTGTCGCCTTCGTTCGGTATGCGATCCGGTATCTGTGGTCAACCATCAGGTACTTGCGGTCGCGAATCCAGTTGCGATTTCAATATCTCCAACTGTCCAAGTTCTGACATCTGCGTAACTCCGTGTGCCGATGGTTCTGTTTGCGTGGCACCTTGCAAAAAACTTGGTCCGAATCAATCCAAGGCAAATCTTCCCTTCCCTCAAATCCCGCTTCCCTATGAAGAAATTCCCCCATCAGCTCCTCAATGTTCAGTTCCTAGCTTCAAACCTCGCACTAACTTAAGTGGTCAGCTTGCCCGATTGACCGCCAAGAACGGCCAATCAAACGGGCCTATGGTACAGCTTTACAAATCGATCCAGACCGAACCGATTCAGACTCAGACTCTTCAGCCCCAGAGTTACACCGAAGACACTTATTATCACACTCAGAGCTACCGCGAAACCCACTGCGAATCCGGCAATCATTGCCAGAACACTCAGAACCGCTGCCAAGACCAGATCCATTGTGATCCCCTTAGTGAAACCCAGAATTTAGTAGACCCACCAAATTTGTCGTCCCACCCGGATCTAGGTACTGGAATCGGTGGCCTCGGCAGCGCGGGTTCTAAGACTGGATCGTTCGCTGGTAGCAGTGCACCCAAACGTGGACGGGGTATCCTGAATCAGGCTGTCGGAGCGGGATCGCGTATACCCCTGTGCGCTCACTGCAACTCATATGTCAGGTACTTAGGATTGTCCGGATCGATAACAATGTTTGCTACTTTCGTTGTTGCTTTTCGTATTTTGTTCTAGACATATATGTTTTACTTCTTACAAACGTTTTTTCTTTATTCGTCCTCGTTTTCATTGATGCTTGTACATATTAGTGTGCATGTGTGTGTGTGTGTGTGCGTGTGAATCTATTCTTATTTTTTGTTGATGTTGTTTTTATTATTCTTAGGCGTTTTTCCTATTTTAAATTATTCGAAGAATTTTTAGAAAAATTAAAGCAATCATATTTTTGCATCTTTCACCTGCAGCTTATTCGAATTAGGTTCTCAGGCTTATTTTTGAATTAATTTATACAGTTATGCACTATTTTAGATAATATAAATAATGTAAAAATATATTACTATATAGATGTAATTACATATACTTAATTAAAAAAATTTTATGTCATTATATTGAAACGCAATTTCAATTCTTTCTATATTATTTAATTTTATTATACACAATGTTATGTTTTGCAATTTTTCCAGATATCTTACTATTAAAATTTTATATTTTGTTAAACAATATTTTTTAAAACTTATTTTTTATATTGATAATATTTTTTGTTATATTTCTGCATTATGTTTATCAGAATGATATACGAAAATTCATTGCATTTGTTTGTATCAGTAATTGTCTAAGTGATTAACATAATTTCCGTTGCATGTATTGTTGACAGCTAATGAAAAAAATACTAATCACAAGTCGAACGGCTTCACTCTAAAACCAGTGTGTTGTAAAGACGGCAAAGAGTGCACAAGGTTTGTATAAAACTTTACTTTGCAAATATCTATTAACACTTCGTTTTTTAAAAAAATACATACATATATATTACGACACCAAATTAATTATAATATAATTATAGAGGGCCTTTCATCACCGCTTTGGGCCAAATTTGGTGCCCCGATCATTTTGTCTGCGTTAACGCCCAATGCCGTCGTCCTCTTCAAGACATCGGCTTCGTTGAGGAAAAAGGACAACTCTATTGCGAATATTGTTTCGAGAAATTTATTGCTCCTACGTGTAACAAGTGCAACAACAAAATCAAGGGCGTAAGTACAGTATTATAAGTGACTTATCGTTGATTATGATTCGATATATTAATAATCCTTTTCATTTTAATGTACAGGATTGCTTGAACGCGATTGGAAAGCACTTCCACCCTGAATGCTTCAACTGTGCTTATTGTGGCAAACTCTTTGGTAACAGTCCGTTCTTCTTGGAGGAAGGATTGCCTTATTGCGAAGCTGGTTAGTATTTCCGCGATAAAACAAAAAAAAACGTAAAGTGTATCACGGCGAAAAAATATAATAATAATATGCATTATATTTAAAATACTTTTATTTAAGTTACATTTATTACATATTAAATTACATATTCAATTAAATATGCAAAATTATAAGTGGCAATCTTTTTCTCAATATAGATTGGAACGAGCTGTTTACCACGAAATGCTTTGCGTGTGGATTCCCAGTCGAGGTTGGCGACCGTTGGGTGGAAGCTCTAAACAACAACTATCACAGCCAGTGCTTCAACTGCACGGTAAATAATAATTTTTAGAAGAGTCAACATTCTATTTTTAGAAGTGTCAACATTCTATTTTTTATTTTATATTATTTTTACTCGTTTTTTAAAGCTTTATCATTTTTATCGTGCATCGAAATCTACAGGGAATCTCTAAATCTATTAAACCGATGTAAAATTATTTGAAGATTAATATGAGCGTTTATCTTTTTTTGTTGATGTATTAGATGTGTAAGAAGAATCTCGAGGGCCAAAGTTTTTATGCGAAAGGCGGTCGTCCTTTTTGCAAAAATCACGCACGTTAAAATAATCCTCGACTATCGATGGGATGACAAGAGGAGAAAAAATAGGAAAGAGCAAAGAAATGAAGGGAAAGTGCAACGAAAGAAAGAAGCATACAATGTTAATGCATCAATTACTTTATCGTGATTATTTTTTTTCTGTGTCTTCGATCAAAATCACTTTAACTAACCCTTTGTTAAATCCACAAGCGATCCTTCGTATAGCTACAAAAATACAGGATTAATTAAGGGTGATTTTGACAACGAAACTTCTTTATCACTGAGTCTAATAATAAATCGCAATATCAGTAAATGAACGAAAAATGTGACTATATTTATAGAATAGATACATCATAAAATATAAAGTAATAAAAATAGAATTTTAAAAAGCGATGGTTCAATAATACTAAATGATTTAAATATTAAATTTTTTCAGCGTCACCAATCACCTTAATTAATTTTACGCAATGCACACGAATACTACTAATGTCGCGCGTCGCCCAGCTACGAGAGAGATTTATTATTAATATTTATTACCTAGCTTAATTAAAAATGGCGCAGGAGACCATCAATCATCTCAACTCTAAAGAGTTCAATGGAGATCTATAAAATTTAATAATTTATTAATCTTTCATTCATATATAATCTTTCTAAAAGGTGCAGTCAAAAGAAACTATATAAGAAACTATATAAATATACAGTTTCCTTTAATCAAATATTTTTTAAAAAGAGCGTTAATTTTATCATGATTTTATATATGTCGCATAACTTTCGTTAAACATTCATTCATTTGTGCTCTTTAGAATTAAATGATCTTGCGTCTATTAACATGCAGTCTTGTTTTTAACAATTCCGTTTACGAATATTGAATTATCGTCATACTTTGCGTCATGACATTGACATCAACCGCGAGCGAACAGAGCAGAACAATTAATTACGTTGAGGACGTTTAATGATGTATCCTTGCACTTTGCGGTTCCCGTTTAATAACAGGAAGCCTAATCGCGATTCTAACAGGATTAGCGGAATATCTCGTAAAATCGTTCACGGCAGGAAACACTGGGACGATACAACACATAACGAACGAGCCGTCAGCGGAGTCGTCTCGATCATGGATCACGCAAAGGTCATCAGAACAATTAGTATTACGTGGGCATAATTTCGTATTTCCAAGGTGCATCGGAAAGTAGTGAGCGATAACAAAATCTCAGATAGCATTTCTTTGCTTGACAATCGACGACGGCGGTGCATCGTGACGAGAAAAAGAGAGCACAATCGTGAAAAAATAGAACAAATGATTGTAGAAGTCAGATTGGAAGTATGAATGACGAGTAAATGCGTTAATTACACATAAAGAGAGAAAATGATTACATGGTTTCTGAGCAATCAAAATTGCATGCGATGGCAAATTGCATGCGATCAAATTTTAAACACGTACAATTCCGATATAAGATTAATGATAATAATAAAACAAATTCAAGTAATTTGACTTTATTTGCTTTGTTTTTTATAAGATTTAGTCTTGTAATTATCAAAATTTGTTATATTCTTAAAATAGTCCAACAATTGCAAATTCTATTGTGGATATATTTTAAAATAATTACAAACGCAAACTTTTGAAATTAAATGTCACATTAAATAATATTATTATTTATTTTTAATAACAAAAGAATTAATTTAGTTCTAAAGTCATTATTAATCCATGAGAAATGTCATAATGTTTAACAAACAGTTGAAATTTGCATACTCGGAAATATATGCTAGTCAAATGTTGAAAATTCCATTCTTAAATTTATGAACATTTTTCATATAATAACAACAAATTGTTCTTAATTTATAGACGAAAGAAATATATAGGCAGAAGAAGAAGCGAGTAATATTAATTTATGAAAGTTAATTCGACATATTTTGTGCATGTAGATCGTTAAGGATTATTTGCCGAAGATACTTAATAGCTTTACTAAATCAACGACGAGCAAATATATAATCTTAGTGCATGCAAACTTCACCGTAAGTCATCCGCGAATCTGCCGTACCCTGGAATCAGCCGATTAAAGCCGAGACTGATAACAGGTTCAACATGCATTCGGGCTTTCATTTAATCAGCCGATCGATTTGCAAGTTAGAAAAACGAAAGGCTAAAATTCGCACGGTAGGAACGACCTGCTGACAATTCTTAACTCTTTAAACTCCTAACTACTGTAACCTCTACATCAGTCTTTTGTTAAAGAGAACTCTCTCCCTAAAATTGTCATTAAATTCTTTGAAATAAATTCGTGTTTTTAAATTTTTTGAAACATATATATTGAATTGTGTTTTAAATAATATAATAATCAGAATTCGTAATTTCGAAATTTCATAGTTTTTAAATTTTTAAATTTTCTTAATTTTTTGAAACTATAATATTTAAGTTTATGGTTTTTTGATGGGGGGGGGGGATTATAATAATTAAATTTCTAGATCTACTTCACTACAAATATTCTTACAAATCAATGAAAGAAATCTTTTCCAGGATATGACGATACGCGGAATAAAATATTGTTGATTTCTAGTTGTCGGCTCTATTTTACGAAATAAGAGATTCTAATGGCAGATATTGTCATATTATTACATTACTTCTAATATGTTACCGATTGTGCCATCTGCGTGCGCTTCTGTTATTGCGTAATTATTCTTTCTTTGTGAATGAGAAAAGAAAGAGAAAAGGAGTATATGTGCGAGAGACTTGAACAGAACTCGTTTATTTGCGTGGAACGAGTATATAGTATAATTATATAGTATGTAAGTGTTTTAAGTTGCGTTGGGGATAATTCTGAAAAAAGGAAAGAAAGTATGATGTGCAAAGAATTTAACTTTACCTGCACGATCGCAAATAATCATCGACAACGAACAATCGATCGACTATCGCCGTTCGATCAAATCATCGACAATCATATAACGGCGCGGACCACGAAATTTCAATTTTTGTTTGGCTGACTATCAGCTGAGCATCGCACTTCTGTATGCGTGTTACGTGTTGCTTATGAAATAAAAGAAAATATTCACTCGAGAGTTCCAAGTTTCTTATCCTCTCTGTTTTGCTGACATTAGGATATTTTGGAATTGATTATTAAATTATTACAAATTTACTTGTTAAAAGATAGAATTTTAAAAAACATTTTTGTAATTTTTAATAATTTTATAGAAATCTGTTAACTCTTATTTTAAATACATTTAAACATATTTAAAATAAATTTTCAATATATATGATTATGTCTTTTTCCGTTTTTATATTAATTCTATACATATTTAACATCCATTTCATTGTATCGAGCTTAATTCAAAAAATAATTTGATCATCTAAATTCATAGTATGCGTACATATATTTACTATTTCTTCTGAATTTATTTATCGAAACGCATGTAAAAAGCGTTCTTAAGATTCTTTTATGAAGTCAGTTGAAGCAAATTTTACGGGAGATTTGCGTGTACAATGAGATATATAATAAAAATCCAGTAAGGTATAAAACGTACAAACAACCGTAATTATTTACGAGTGTTATTTACAACTGGCACTTAGTATTTTAATAACTAAGAATATTGATTATGTCATGAAATAGATTGAGAAATAGCGAAGAACCACGAGCATATCACAACATCAACTATCTTCTACATTTATCGACGATTTCAAAAGAGATCGATGCATGATTGGAATAAGATCTTCAATAAGAATGATCAAATCAATTCAGATTTTTCGATCAAAGTTGCTACTCTTTGTTTCATGGATTTATCATTAGTACGACCTCGCGGTATCTGTCTTCGAAAGAGAGACTTTTGCTTCTTCAGAAATTAAATATTTCAGAATATTTCATAAATAAAAATTAGAGTTAGATATTAAAAACTTTTTAAAAGACTTTTATAAAAGATTAATTTTGGACAACAATACACTTCGATAAAAAAACGTATTGACGTAAAAAAACGTATAAAGCAAAAGAAAATAAAACAAGTTAGAATCATTAAATTTTATATAAAAAAAGGTATTTCAAATTTCATATTTGCAAATATCGAGATTTTTATCCGAAATTTTCGAGTGATTTTTTAAATATAGAAATTCTTACAATTTTCCTTCTTGTATATTTTTGTAACTAAAATCCTTGTCTTTTTTCTCATTTGCTTCGATTCTAAATATAATATCAAATATTCTAGTGCCTAACTACTCCTTTGCACGGATGATTGCGGTAAAAAAAGTATCCGGTGAGGAATTTAATTTAACGCGAGACATTTGACATTTGACGTGAAGTCGTTGCGACGTCAGCTCGCCCTTTCGAACTTTTGTCGATTTTCCTATACCTGAGATATACACAGTCCTCATCTTTAAGTACAATCACCTAATCCGCAATTGTGTCCTTCACACATCCATTGGTCGTCAGTGAGCTCTAATTGATTGTTAAGCACAATCAATATAATGATATCGCACATCGTTCCGCAGTAAAAACTTTTTCATTTTTAATTTGGATAATCAAACGTCCTAATTAAACATAATTACTGAAATTATAATATTTTTTCACGAACTTTAATTATTCCCGCATTTATCGTCGCGTGACATCTGAATGTTCTTTTATCTCTGTCAGAATTTTTGCAAACATCGATTATAATTATCCCTCATTAAAAATGCGTCGACCATTAAAAGAGACTTTAAAAGCACGCGGAAATGTTAGAGAAAAGTTCAATCTCGCGTTCGAGCTGAAATAGTTGAAACTCTCTTTAAAGCCTAAAATACTCATCGGAGACACAGGGTTGGATTAAGTATTTTATAGATCTCTCAGATACTCTAAATTAATTATAAATATTAATAATTAAAATGATATACATCTAATGTGAAAAACTTAAGAATATTTCCGAAATTTCTAAAATTCCCTTTAAAAATATTTTACTTTTTGAGACTATAATTTCATCGTTCTGATAATATTTTATTAATTAATATTTTACTATTATATTTACTTTGTTAAATTTTAGAGACAGGACTCAAAACAAAAGTCGAATACTTTTGTTAATTGTCGGAAAGTATTCAATTTAATATTACGCTATATGATTTCAATGTAATACTATATTTCAATTGAAGAAGTCTAGAGCTTTATTAGTTTTGCCACATGCATCCCTGTACCTTGACGAGAAAGAACGACAGTGCCCGTCGCGTGCTTCTAATAACCTTCCATAAATTCGAATTATCTAAATTCTCTCGGATCCTTCCACAACGAGCTGTTTCTGACCGCCTATTACATATCTCAACCGACATTCTCATCTAGCGGCCTTGCCGTCCCTTGCGGCAATCGTGGTGGAAAGCGCATAAAAGCTGCAAGCGGCTCACAGCGGTAGCCTGCGCACCTGCGAGAATCAGCCGAAAGCGATTGCGTAGACCAGAACGTGGCCGCGTACCAGTGAGAACCGAGATCCCGCCTTGTCTACACTAACCATCTCAGCGAGAAACTTCGCGGGGAAAAAAATAAGCTTCGATGTATCGAAGCTACGAACGATTCTCGATTCATCAAGTCAAAATGGTAGCAGAGTTGGCAGTAAATTTATTTACATCTGTTACCTCTGTGTAAGTTCTTTATAAATGTTAACAAATAGAATTACAATTCATAGAAAATAGTAATATTAATTTTAAATGTAACTTTTACATTTTGTATCCCATATGATATAATTTATTAGTATTTAGATATACAACAAATTGTGATCTTGAGTATATTTATGTGTTATGTGTAATGATTGATTTCTACAAATTCATAAATAACGTAATATAATATTCATTTTTGCAGATAACTCTCAGTATATGAGAATTGGAATTATTGACAAAAGGTTTATCATCTGTAAAGGTAAGATTTCTCCTGTATATTACCTTCTATTTTGCTTATACTATAAGAGTTGAACGATAGACACAACACACGTGGTGTTGTCCACGATATATATACGCTTTACATTTCAAAATATCCTTGACATTGGAGGATACTTGGTACATCTATATGACACACATGCTAGCATATTAATAGAAACACAACGCGTTATTAATTTATAATTAATATCGATAAAGTACTCCACGCTTAATTTTTTAATCCGTATTTATTTTCAATATGCAATAAATAATATAAAAATAAATAAAAACAAATCCACATTAATTATCTCTATTATAGAAATTTGTATTTTCAACAAAATTATTATATTTATTTAGTTTTGTGTTATTTATTAAAAAGCACGAGATAATATTTATTGAATTTTTTCGAAAACAAATAAAAATAGTTATTATCACAGATATTTGCATATTTTGTTTTATTACGAGCTCCGCAGTGAAGAAAATATGAAATTAAACTCTTTTATGTTTTGATAAAAAAAAACAATGGTTTTAGCTATCTACAAGTGCTACTTCGAAACAATAAAAATGATAGCGTAATTAACTTATCAATGCGTTTGCTAACACAAAATATTTAATTAATTTAATTATTCTTTTTCTTAGATTGCATATTATAATGAGCTTCTTAAATATAATGCAATATCGACGTAATTAAACCGGAAGTTCGTTGTATCTCAAAAAGAATACGATGCTTCGGCATGGCAGTAAAATGTATGGAAGGGCCTTTTGTGTTCAGACTAAATGACAACGGTACCGGACCGCATCTACTTGTACAGGTATAATTGGTTTAGATGAAATTCCTACAATCTCAGAAACGAACGATGAAGTCCTCGATAAAGCACAATTTAAATCATAGACTAATTGTAATTCGATTGTAAATCTGCACGTCATTCATTCGGCGTACAAATGCCGATACGCAGCTGTACGCGTTGCCGCGCGATGGATCGCGGATAATCGATACGATTCGACGCGAAAGGTCGTCGGCTTCGACGGATAATGTAATGTAATATACCGCGATAAACGCAGAGATAGGCCTCCTCTAGCTTTAGTTTTTTTATGTCCCTTAGAATTTATTCACGGCATGGTTACAAACTTAGACTTAGCGCCCTTGAACCAAATACTTTTCAAGGTATGCGATACATACATGCATACCTGCAACGCGCCTCTGCGTGCATTTGCCGCTTTTAGACGCGATGATTAGGTAAGTGCGACATGCAATGGTAAAAAACAAAAGTAGAAAACTAAAGGACTAACAATAAGTTGAACTTCGTGAAAATTTCCGGCGCCAGATTTGTGATCTCCGTACTATTTCATATTTTATAACTATTGATATGCTCTGTTGTATACATTACAAAAAGTGATTAACAAGTATTAAGTCCAAGTACTAAGTATAGACTATCTTACAATTGAATTTTAATGGTTGATTCTTTCATTTGGAATGTATCGTTTTTTAATAAAATTTCGAGAGATCATTTAATCACGAAAATTGCCGTGAATTTTTTACATTCAATAATTAAATCAATAATAATTATCAAGAAGATAAAGTCGAATTTATATAAATAAAATCTTGCAATTTAATTTATTTAATACAATTAAATATTTATATGACCGCTTATAATGTACAATTCTTACAAAAATACTGAAGAATATACTATTTATAATAATACGGAAGAATATACTATTTATTTTTTGAATATTAAAAACACTGCTGTTCAAAATAAGTAATTTTCAAAATTAAATTAGATTTTCTGTAAGAGAAGTTGTTATTTCCTCAATATTTTAATTTAAAAAATAATAATATTTTAATTTAAAAAAATCCTGAATCTTTTATTTGAAATTTACATTAAAAATCAAAATACATCCTGTGTAAATATTAAATTATTATTAAAAGAAGTGATAAGATTTAGAAAGATATCACACATTGTTCTTTTAATTGATATTATTTCTTCTTAATATTTTCTTTTAAATATATGATAATAAGTGTATCGATAATGTAGCACAAAGTTAACATGTTTTGCAATTAGTCAACAGTAATAAAAATTCCATGTCAGTCGAAAAATTTTTTGCAAGTGAATTGTCACATAATTAAACTTCGCATTTACTTTGGAAATAACTTCGCGTAATTTATTAATTAAGACTTGTTCGAAAATTCGCATATTGTTATTATTTAAATAAAATCTAATTTTTTTTCATCCAATTCGTTAATTTATTACATTATTTGTTTGTCTTGGATCATTAACGGGAAAAGTTAAAAGAGAGCAAAAAAAAATTGGATTATTCAAGAAAGAAAGACTTAAAAAATAGAGGTTTGTCAATAGTAATGTGTAATTCGTGATTTATACGATGGTTTGCATAAATGTATGCTAAAATGAACTCTGAAGCTACGAAAGTAACTCAATTGTGTTTCACACAACGTGTGATTGATCAAATTAAATGACATTCTGAAGAGAAAATATCATACTTTCGAAGTTTGCATGACGCAGGAAAATTTGTATCATGTTTAAGAAATTATTTTTGTTTCCAATTCGAAAACAAAAAGACAATTAAATTATAATAAATAAAATACATTTTTTTGAAATTCAAACTGCAGAAATAAAAATAATCATTCTCGAGTTGCCTAAGTGCTTCGTAAATTTATTTAGAAGTTATTTAGAAGTAATCTCTAATTACGCGCGTAATTAGAGGTTACTTTTAAATCACTTTAGAGTCGAAAATAATGATAAGCTATAAAATCTTTTAAGTTTATAAGTGTATAAACTCTTTGTTTCTAAAAAATATGAATTTTATGAGATGATTTAAAAATAAATTTTTCAATTAAAGAGATCTATCGTGCATACCGATTTAATTATAATCAGAGGCCTTGGTTCGTTTTGATACAAACAGTCATCCCTAATGTTCTAATAACACGACAATAAATCAAGGGCGGTCGTCGCTATTTTCGTGCCTCACCCTCGAAAGTTTTGAAACTTCAGAATGCGTAGATATCTGGAATTAAGGAATGCACTTTCGGTTACCAAACTGAAAGTGATTACACTATCAATTTGACCAAATAGAGAAATCGATGCAACACATCTGTGTGAATTAAATAGATATCGATTATGATATTTTGGTTGTAACCTCTGGTATAAGCGCATATTTAGCAAGATTCTAAAATAAGTCGAGTACTCTCTACGAATTTATTTGTGAGAATATTTATATATCTAGAAATCGATTGCATCGATAAAACTACTATTTTCATCCAACGTGGTCATTCTACGAATTTACTTCAAAATTACGCAATTCAATTTTAAATTATTATAAATCTGTTAATATAAATAAACATATCGATCGCTGTCTTTTCGAAATTGATGTACTCACACAAGAATAACGATTGCGTTTCATCATGACGTTTAGCGTTTCACGTTGTCGCAAATAATACAGAAAAGATTAGTTGCTTTTGTTGTTGCCGTCTGACAGCAGAAAAAAATGAGCACTCACGCGTATATTGAAATCTGAGACGGATTATATAAGTATATAGTATACCCGGCCCTCGGAATAAACATCGACGTAATATCAGCCATCCTTTCGCTATCGCGGATGTTTTCTTTTGTAGGTTTGCACGGAAAGGGGATGGCGGGAGTACGCCGGTGAAAATAATGTATTCAAAGATCGATGGAATTTATGGTGGCGGTCCGGCGGTTTCCCCACATCACATTACAGGCCATTATTCCCCTGCCAGGTAATAACGCAATATCTAAGCTAAGTTTTATGAAATCTCGAATTCTCTTCAAATCGTAAACAACGAACGATCAGGGAAGGGATCGTTCTTTCAATCCTTTCCTGAAAAATCCTAATTTTCTTATTATGTAAATTTGTATTTTTTTAAATCATTGTGATTCTCCCAAGTTTATCTACAAAAGTTAACTTTGACTTATTAATATTTGTAATAATATTTGATGCTCTATCCATTTTTAATAATTAATTTATTATTAATTAATTGATTATATAATTTTTTAAATTTAATATAAAATTAACTATTTATTTCACACATAATTTTTCTAATTATCTAAATTAAAAAATCTCTCTTAATTAAAAAGAATTGCTCAAATAGTATGTCGAATTATTTTTCGAACAGTTCGTCAATCGAATACCAAAGGGAAATTCCATCTGTCGAAAGGATAAGCTTATCCGTAAGTTAAAATCGAATTTTTGCAAAAATTCTCAATAAAATATAATTATTATTTCTCAATAAAATATAAATATATATATAGTAATAATAATAATAAAAAATTGCAAGTTGAATGTAAGATTATCTCTGTTTGATATTTATTCATCATATTAGTCCCGTAGGATATAACCTGCCTTCTGAATATACAAAATTGGCCGAAGAGTGTAGTCGTTACGAGAAAGATGATAAAATTTGGATTTGCAAACCGGTCGGCCAAAGTCAAGGGAGAGGAATCTTTTTATTTCGCGTGAGGCTTTTAAATGGAAATCGAAATACAAATCGTATAAATTAGATAATAAATATATTTTTTCAGAAATTAAGCGATCTATCGTATGACAATGCCGCGGTTGTACAAAGATATATCGAGAATCCTTTGCTAATCGGAGGATACAAATTCGATCTTCGTTTATATGTATGCGTGCCATCGTATCGCCCGTTAACGATTTATTTGTACAAGGAAGGTCTGGCTCGTTTTGCCACTGAAAAGTTTTCCTTGGAGCGATTAGATGATCCCTTTCGACATCTCACAAATTTTTCTCTAAACAAACTGGGACCAGGTTATTCAGAAAAGAAAGAACGCATCGGTGCCGGTATTTTTATACGTTAACTACCTTCTTTATTAATTTTATTATATTTGTATTCTATACTGCACGCAAAAGTTAAAAGAAGATTTAAAAATAATACACAAATTTTTTTAATTTTTAGGATGCAAATGGACATTTAGACAATTGCGGAGATATTTCGAACAGTCAGGATACTTTGATTGGATTCTGTGGCAGAGAATCTCCTGTCTCGTAACTTTAACAATTCTAAGTCAAGCAGCAGGCATTCCTAAATCTTCGAATTGTTTTGAATTTTTTGGCTTCGACGTGCTGATTGACGAAAATTTAAAGCCGTGGCTTTTAGAAGTAAATAAAGTGTCGTTTGAAAAAACAAAATAAAATAATTGAATCAGATAAACAATTTAATAAATTCCAGGTGAACTTAAGTCCGGCTTTAAGTAACGACTGCGAAGTCGATTCAGAAGTGAAAAAACCCCTGTTGCATGATTTGTTTGATTTATTGGGTCTTCCAGTATGCAATACCGGACTCTCTCTGTTTACAATCTGGTCCTCTCCCGACCGCATCGAGGAGGATGAGGGCGAAGTGTCTTCCAAATTCGGTCGTTCCGTGAAAAAGAGATCGAAACTCGGACGAGAAGCTGAAACTTTTCTAAATTTTTCCTCGGAGACCCAAGCCACGGTAATAAATCGCGAGCGAATCTTCTGCCTTTTGTACAATCGAAATTGCACAAATAATATATTAAATTACGACAAAAAAAGAAAAAATTAATTCCAAGTAAAAAAACAAAACATTTAAATAAAAATGATTAATACTAATATCGAGAAAGATTAATATGTATTATTTATTCAAAAAAGGAAAAATAACATATCTTGCTGGTAATTGCTGTAATTTTCTTTCAGTTGCGACAATCACCACCGGAAGTTTGTCCTACTACCTGGCCACGCCATTACAACCAGCTGTTAATGGACAAATACATACATCGATATAAAGGAAATACGATCGAGAATCATGCGTCATCGCCGATTTGGGATAATGGTAGAGATTGGAGGACTTCCTGCGTAAGAGAAGGCGGATGGATTCGTATTTGCCCGTTTATTCGGATGAAACATATGGAGAATACGGAATATACGAGACCGTCACCCAGAATTGTTGAAAATGAAATCAAGAACATGGTCCTGTCTATACAAAAGTAATCTTTAATCTTCGATATCTAATTCTTTAATTTTTATGAGTTGTCTCAAAGCTATCGAGAGCGAACTTACAATTTTTTTCAAAAAAATTGAAATAAGTGACAACTCTAAGTATCGAATAAAAAATTAACGCATTTAATTATGACAATACAAAACTATTGAAGTATAAATACGAAGTATAAAAATGTGTGCGACAATCTTATAATAAATTTTTCTTTCAAATAGATATTTAAAAGCTGCAAAGGAAGTGCAGCAGAGGAACGAAAAACTCACGGACGAGCAGTGCAATGCTCTTTTGCGAAAAGCACTCGAATTAAATACAGAAATTTGGCTGCCAGAAAAGTAAAAACCTAGGAGTCTGGATTTTTTGCTCACGATGTTCAAATTTATTTTACGCTTGCTCATATATAGTGTTATTTTAAGAAATATTTCGTATGATGTTTAATGCACATTATATTAAACGTGCATTTTTTCATTCCATCGATCTTTACTATACATCATATTTAATATATATTTAAAAAGTAATTGTAATTATTCATTAAGCAGTTAGATTCGCATTGTTAATCATTTAGCGTTAAATGTAGCCATCTCATGCTCAATTTGCAAATAAAATTATTTTATTACTACATCATTGTATTAATTCAATGATAATAACAACTGCAACATTATAATTGATTTTTCATAATTTTTTTTGACTTCGTATTGTTATAATTATTCAAATTTTTGTGAGCTTATTATTATTATAACAATATTTTTACCTCTCTCTAATGAATTATTTGATTTAAATCATTAATTAATATTAAATAATTAAATTATTTACTAATATTTTTTATAATTTTATTATTATTACATAACAATTATTCTACACACAAATTTATTCATTATTACAGATGACCACATTTAGCATGCCAAAATGCATCTAAAGAATCACATTACACGGATCCTCTATTAATAATAATAAATTAAATTTCTAACTCACCAAGCGTTTCGTTGATCCGTATAATTACTCTTTCAACTTTCAGCGTTCGGCTAATTCTTCCCACTTCATTTGCAACAACTCGAATTTCCGGAAGAAACGCGACGTTCTACATACAATCATGAATACAAATTATTGTTACAATCAATCGCGATATCGTTAAATGTGAGATACCTACTTGCATATACTATATGCGTGTATGATTTAAAAATACATAACAAATGATAAAATAATAAATTGCATTCGCTTACCGGTCGTGTGCGTTGTTTTAACAAGTCGTGCGATCACTCGTGTGGTCCCCGATTTATTCGATAAATCTTTGGCGGGCGAGAATTCGTTATCGCGACGAAAATACGTAATAGCAGACGATTGCAAATGCGGATAAGTACGACGTGACGATAGTCCTAAACTTTCCTTCCTAATCCCGATGTAAAATTGGGACATGTTGTAAATTTTTTATTAAAATTCGCGAGAGAACGCGTCCGCAAGTCACACTCGATCCGTAGTAGCTGTAACTAACATGGCCGCCGAGCATGCGCGTTGCATACTTCACGTTTCTATCTGTAAATTGAACGCACTTGAACGCAACGCATTATTCATACATACTTTTCGAATACGAATTCTATATATTTGTATCACTTTATCATGTATTTTTTATCTTTAATCTTTCAAATATATCAAAAAGATTATTAAAACAGTTATATGATATTGCTCCCTTATTATAATTAATAAATAACTCAAAAAATTAATTTTTCAAGAAAAAAATTTGTTTTTTCAAATAGCAGCGAAAAAATATACTCGAAATATGATTAAAATATTTTTATGATTTTCGTTTTATAAAAATTTAAAAAAAAATCACTTTTTGAATTGTGACGATTTTAATATCTAAAAAATACAACAAATAATCTAGAATAATTCAAAAGATATAACTCAAAATATCATCAATAATTTATATTTAATCTCGATATTTATATTTTACCTTGATCAGTTAAATAACTAAATTCTTTATCGAAATCATTCATGGTAATAATTCAAAAATCATATACTTTTTTAAGGGAACAAAATATGAATCTATAGGTATGAGCTTTACATTTAATTTCCTTTATTAGGCCTTGTTCAACAAAATATTTCAAATGTTGAATTTGTAAATTTATTTTAAAGAAATGGGGAAAATGATGGTAATTTTGGCATTACGTTATTGTTTTTTGACAATAAATTATTATAATGAAAATCATCTATAAGAGGATGGAGAGATTTACCAAATCAATCTCGGTTTATTTCATGTTTTCTTGAAAATGTACATTTATTAATTCACTCCCTTCGCTGCTAATCTCTTGTCACGTTCTTCAGCGATCGACAGTTTCACACCCTTATCTCTTGGTAAGCTTACATACGCCTTTGTGCCTTTACCAATGATGAAAACGTTATTCAACCTACGCAAACAATTTACATTATATACAAAGAACAATGCAGATTGGACAACTAAAAATCTTATTTTCAGTACCTCGTGGCGAAAGTATGCCCTTGAGCATCTTTTATGTGGCAAATGTCAAAAGAACCAGGGTGACGCTCGCGACTCACGACAGTACCAACGCGACCCAAATTCCTTCCTCCGGTAATCATACATAAATTACCTGGCAATCAAGCAAAAGAAAATTATGCTCAATATTTTTTTCTCGTTAATTCATATTTCTTCAATTTCATAGGCAAATAATTACCAGAATCAAATCTGATGGAATCCAAAATTTTGCTAGTGGCGATGTCAAGATGAATAGTATCATTAACTTTTATAACAGGGTCGGGATATCGAATTGTTCTACCGTCATGCGTAACTAAAAACGGTATTCCTTTAGGACCAGTCTGGACGCGCTTTACCTTGCACAATTTGTACTATAAAATATAACATCATATTATAGATACATTGTAAATACATAATTTTTATGCTCTTCTTGGGTAATACAGAAAGAATATGCAATTCAATCTGTGACCAAAATGAAGAACTTGCTTTACTATTGGCCATTTTTTGACTATGATATTCTTGATATTGTAAATACCATAGCTTCGATAAGGCCCCTTTCTATCATTAGATGAAAAGAGTAGAAATTGAGTATGCAATAATGAATTACCTTGGCTTCTTCAGCAGTAATACGATGGGTAGTAAAACGTCCTTTAACGTCATAGATCAAGCGGAAAAATTCACCAGTTTTCTCAATTGTAATAACATCTAAAATGAATCATAATGATATTAATCCACAATTGTTTATACCTACATCTCTGTATATAAGCTACAAAATATTTTTGTGCACTTCTTGGGTAATACAGAAAAAAATACATAATTTAATCTGTGACCATTATGAAGAACATGTTTTATTATTGGCCATTTTTTGACTATGCTACTCTTGATATTATAAGTATCATATCTTCGATATGGCCCATTTTCATCAAACATTTTATAACATAAAAGCAGAAAAAGTATTATAATAGATACAGGCTATGATCCACTTAATGCTATGAATGTTTTGAAATTCTTTGCTTAATCAATTAGCAAAATTCTTTCTTTTAATTGATTAATTAAATGTCGAAGCATTTGTAATATTAAGTGGACATGAGATATCAAAATCACTCACCCATAAAACCAGCAGGATAATTGGGATCAGTGCGAATCTTTCCATCAACCTTGATCAAACGCTGCATCACGATCTTAATAACTTCGCAATTTGTCAAAGCATATTTCAATCTATTACGGAGGAAGATAACCAAAGGAAGTGATTCCCTGAGTTTGTGTGGACCAGTAGATGGTCGAGGGGCATACACACCCCCCAGTTTGTCCAACATCCATGCTTTCGGTGCATTAAGACGCTTGAGATGCTTCTTTGGACCACGAGCCTGAAAAAATTTTGTATTATATTAAGAATATTTTGAAATTAAATATAATTAATGATAAAAATTAATAATTATTTTCCCGATTAAAAAATTAATGATATAATTAAAAATTAATAAGATTTAAGTCAGACTTCAATTGAATAAACATAGTATTGTGCAATTACAACTGTAAGATTCATCTGTATATTGATGTAATATAAACAATTTTCTCATATAAACACGAAATTATTGCTTTCATTAAACTGATAACACCATGGTTACAATTTATAAAAACAATTATAGATAATATTTGCTGAAAAAATTTAAATCTATAATCATACAAAATGCAAATATAGAAAACAATTGTCAAAACTAAAACTTCTTAGCACAAAAATGTAAAGCTTTAGTTTACATTTTTGTGCTAAAGTAAAATTTTTAACACCATCCATGCGATTAGAATGAGAAATAACGAACGGTGTTCGTCGTGAAATTTAGGTTAACTCTAAATTTAGGTTAGTTGATATTTATTCCATTTATGTGAGTAAATGGAAGTAATTTTAATTTGAATAAAAATATAATTTTTCATGCATTGCTATAGAATAATTTCGATGGAATCGTAACACGATAGATTCCATTAGAAAATACCAAGAAATTCGGAAGGAAACAAAACGAAGCAGTGTGACACGTCGCAATATCACTGTCGTTTTCACAGCACCAGAACGCATTTAATATTTCATAAATATACCATCCGACGCACAAAAATGTACACTACCTATTTCTTTTGCGTATCAAACAGATTCACATCATATACGCGTGATTTAGACAGATTTCGCGATGCCTGACAAACTTACCATCTTGAAACCCTAAGCGGAAAGGACACGAGAATTAATATCGCGTGCTCGCATCAGAAAAATGAGAAAAAAACGTTTGTGACGCCAATGAACTGCAATGAACGCAAATGGACGCCAATGCAACGATATGACGACCCAGAACTACGCGACACTAGATGGAGTCTGAACAACCAATGAAAATTATCAGAAAAGCGAGGGTCTGATTGGTTATCGTCTTTGGTTACATATGTTTTAAATTTCATCAAATTTATAATTAAAATTAAAATTAAAAAAGGCTTAAAGATCAAATCTATAAAAGAATATAAAGTCACTGAGAACCGACATTTGTACTTGTGTAGTCAAAAATAAGATATATGTCAATCACCACGTTTCGACCATAAGATTAGGTCATCTTCAGTGTAACAATTACTCATCGGAATCAAAATTGATGCGTTGTAACACAATGAGGTAAATATTAGGTCATCTAAAAAGTATCCGCGGTACTTTGTCACTAGATATATGACCATCAACACACATCTAGTGACAAAAAACCGCGGATACTTTTTAGATGACCCAATATTATCAATGAATCATCTCTAGACCGTTATCCAAAATTAAGAATTTCATTATCGTCTATTGTACTTAGTTGGACCCAAACAATAATTTAATCATTTAAATTGTGCTCAGCATAACGATGATCTGTTATAATTATAACAATGTCTTGAAATTCAGACATTGTCTTGAAATTCTCTTTTCTCTATCCCTCATAATTAAGTTGTCCAACTTCACACATGGCGAATCGACAAGTCGCCGTT